TACTACCAGTGGGCGATCAGCAATCCAGTGAATAAACAGATCGGTGAGAGCACCATGTAAAGAAGCCAGGGCTTAGTTGGTGTGTTTTATTGTCTATTATCTGTCTGAATCCTGCTTTACCAGAGCTGCTCCATGTTTATTGAATGTAAACAGAGTTGTTTCTGGTTCTTTGAGGTGAAGCGAATGGCACGGTATGATGACGTCTGTATGTTGTGTTCAATGGTGTCAAATAATTTAGCAGGTCAACCTGGCTCTGGTGTTTCCACAGCATGCAGATCAGAACCGAGGCGATTTTAACACGAGTCGCTTGCAAAGTTGTTTGACCCGGGTAGACATGCGTTTAAACCGGTTTCTCTGCTCGCTGGTAACGGGTATAGAAGTTACATTACATCACATTTTAAAGGCAGGCCAATATGTTCTGATTAGGGCTGAAACAAACGATTATTTTAAAAATGTATTAATCTGTCGATATCTTTTTATTAATAATCATTATAGGCAAAGATCCTAAAGACGACTTTATGAAATTAAACCAGGTGTAACTCAACCTTTTCCACATGAGGACTTCAGGATAGAGCATGTTGATGGACAAAAAGTTTTTTTATTTTATTTTAAATGCAAAATTAATATGTTTTTTTTTTTACAATGTTGATATGATTACTGCTGTGAGTGGGTCGCTCTGTCAGCTAAAGGCATGTTTAAATCTCTATACTACAGTTAACGAATAATTGATTACTAGATTAGTTTGGCGATAATTTCAATAATCGATTAATCTGATTCATTCTTTGGCTCTACACTTATTGAACCAGCATCTGTCATCCTGTTGAGAAAGCGTGGCTCCATGTTGACAATAAAGGGGGAGTTTTTCCAAGTCTGTCTGCCTTAAATTATGTCACATTTTTCCCCATGCTGTCAAAATCAGTATTGAGTATTAAGATGCACCAATCCATTTTTCCCAATCTAATCCAAATAAGATACATTATAAAAATACTAATGTTAAATTATTTAAACCTCAATATGTGAGGAAATAAATCATTATGACAAACAAAAAAAGGTAAAAAATAAAATATTTAAATCACTAGTCCATCCAGTCCAGCTAATTAGTCAATATCCGAGCCAATTTCTGATCCTTGTCCTGAATATCATAGAGTTTCTAAAATATTTTCCTGGGTATCGATATCAGGATTAAAGTTTTACTTTATTGAAAATCCAAATCACAAGTGGGGGGGGGAAGACTACAGGAAAACCCAAAATTCACTGTTGTTGATAGTGGTTAAAACACAGTAACCGTTACAAATACAAGTCAAATGATACTTATTCCAATTACTAGGCATCAGTGCTTTGTTGACCTGCCGCAGGATGCTAACTTCGGGTCTTTAAATGCTAAACACCTCAAGAAGTCAAGATGATTGTCCTCCTTTGTCGTTTAGGGGGTAAAAAAAGCTCAGCTTTACTGTCAGCAGATATACAAACACTATGAGGACAGATCCGCTTAATGAAGAGGCTGCTAAGCAGAGTTAGCAAACGGCGCGGACTCCATTTCATGAAGGCCCTGTTAGCATGGGGCTAACAGGTTAGCATAGGGCTAACAGGTTAGCATGGGGCTAACAGGTTAGCAACTTACCAGTGTTGGCCATTCCGGACCCCGCGGATGTCTGTGGCTGAGCCTGGGTGGAATAATTAGTCCCGGGATTAAACTGGTGCGCCTGAGAGAAGGCGGCGTTGGGCATGGAAGCCGGATAACCCTGGAGGGAAGAGAACGAGCCAGGGGGGGCCGGGGTCGGCATCAAGCCGTTACCCGCTCCGGGCCCAGCTTCAAACCCGCGTTTAGCGCCGATACTGGGGTGCAACTTCCCAAGGGGAGTTGCATTCGCTCCAGTGGCCATTTCCGATTAAATGCCCTTTAAAATGGCTTTTAATCGATAACCCTCAAGTTTACTCAGTAAATGGTAAATTTAAATAAAGTAAACCCGCTGGAGCGGTCCGCAGCACCTGCGTCTAATGCTTTAATCAAAATGGCGACCGACGGGATCCAAAGGGGCGATCCCAAATGACACTTCTTAACAAGACGCATTGCTATTGGGCAGCGGGACCCCTTCATTCTGGGATTTCATTGGCTAATTTGCAATTTTTTTTTTCTAACTGAAAGACGCCCATTCAACATTCTGGAAGAATCAAAAGGCACGAAGGTATGGAAGCCCGTTTCCGCCACTCTGTAAAAAAAAAAAAAAAAAAAAATATTTATATATATATATATATGTATCATTATAATGAGATAGTAACTCAATTTACTGAGATAGTATCTCATTATAATGATATATATATATATATATATATATATATATATATATATTTTTTTTTTTTTTTAAAGAGTGGCGGAAACTGGCTTCCATACAAAAGCTATTGAAGTTTGCATAAAGTTTGATTTATTTAGTATGACGGAGTAGTAGGGCCAGGCTAAATATTTTTTTTTGTTTTTGTTCTTCTATTTCGAGAATAAAGTCACAACATTACGAGAATAAAGTCCTAAAACTAAGAGAATAAAGTTGTAGTTTATGAAAACTCTTCAAAGAAGCCCTGTCTTCCCGTAAATGAGGAATGTCCGGGCAAGGGAACACTAGGTCCATTTATTTTACTTGTCATAAACACAGCAAACGTTCAATTCAAAAATTACTCCCTGAGCTATCTCTATAGTTCTGCTGCTATAGGCTTAGACTGCTGGAGGACATAGGGACCCCTTTTTCATCATTCTGCTTCATTCTATCTCTATTCTCCCACTCTGAATCTATTAGTTCAATCTCTAACGTTCTGCTCTCTCTGCTTTTTCTCATAGTAGCTTCATCTGGTCTGTTCCTGTTTGGCTGTGACTCCATCCTGGAGAGAAATATCAGCTGTGCTGCTGCCATCAACACCTTTGTTTCTAGATGTTGGAGCTTGACCTGTTTTCCAGTGTAGTCCTGTCTCTCTGACTGTGACTAACTGGATGTGCTCTCTTCATCCTCTGACATGGGAGCTGGCTCGGAGCTCGTCTGCCTGGCTGTGTGTTTCCTGGACGGGGCCGCCTGTGGAGCTGGTTGACCTTTTGTATCTATGGTTCTTTTTCTATGTCTGCTTCTGTCTCCATCAGCAGATGGCCGCTCACACTGAGCCTGGTTCTGCTGGAGGTTTCTTCCTGTTCAAAGGGAGTTTTTCCTCTCCACTGTCGCCACAAGCATGCTTAGTGTGAGGGATTGCTGAAGAGTCAATGAGCCGATGCAATCAGCTGGTTTTCCTTAGATAGAAAACTTTGAATCAATCTGACCGGATGATCTGGTTGAACTGGAAAGTGACCTGAGATGACTTGATGTGAATTGGAGCTATAGAAATAATTTGAACTGAAAAATTCATCACCAATTTCAAAGTTTCATTAAATTTTGCATATTTTGTTTTTACCAGTTGTTGTAGGTGTTGATAGCTGTAGGCAGGAAGGAAGTCTGTCTTGCATCAGATATAAGCCTCTGACTGAAGACACTCGATGATGTTTAACAGTCTGATGAAGAGGATGCTCACTGTTATCCATAATTTTCTTCACTTTATGAGGAATTCTTCATTTTTAAATAATCTTCAGAGATTCTAGAGTAGTTCCTAGAACAGAGCCGACCTTCTTTATCAGTTTGCGGTATCGGCTGTTGATCAAGTCCCAGTGCTGTATCTGGTGTTTGTCACAACGCGCTATTATCCAAGTCATCTTGAAAACATTCTCCTTCCAAATGTTGGCTACATATTACGGGTTTTTTCTCTGGCCAGAAGTTCGATGGCAAATCCTCCCTCTTCAAGTTGGCGATCCAACGACCAACCCGTCCGTGGAGGATCAGGAATCAGAAAGGTGGAATAACTCTTTTTTTTCACTTTTACCCGATGTATTCCAGCATCCAGCTGCCATGCACGTGGGCATTGTCAGTTTCACTATAGCTCTGGTGAATTTCAATGGTGAAGTCCTCTGGAAATCTTCAATAATTGTTGTTGATTGCAGATGTGTCTAGTAGTTCCCATTGATTTAGCTTGGAAAGCGGGGAAAATGGCGCCCATTGAGCAAAACTCTGTATCAGTGCGCGTGTCGTTTCAAGAATGTCTTGTGACCGATACAGGAGTTTTTTCTGGCTCACTAACCCGTCTTAAACGACGTATCCCTCGACATGATGCATCTGTTAAAAAAATGTCTCATCTTTTGCGGTTTATAGTTAAAATTATTCTGAATTTTGGAGCAGTATTAAAGAAATAGGAATGTTTCAGCCATTGCGTTTGTGTTTTAATTTCCCCATTTTGTCATCCTTTTCCTCTCAGTTATCACTCAACTCATATGAATTAAAGTTAAAATTCAAATTTACTCTTAGTTTATTCACATTTTTCCCTAAATGTTCGCGCTTATATGTCTACACTATTTATTGGGAGCATCTACAAATATCAAAGATATTTTCAATTTAAACATAGATATTAAATAATACCATATAGCCTACAATAATTTCAATGATATCATTGTTCTAGGTCATCAAATCTATTCACTTTAGTCCAATCAGCTGCCTGTAGTGTCTTTAAATGTCCAGCAGGTGTCAGTATTCTGCAAGATAGTATCAACATATTTTGGCTTCAAGATGCCTCACTAGTCCTCATTAGCGCTAGGCTTACAGCACCGTGACGTCACTGCCGGAAGATGGCAGGAGGGAGGGGTTACTATATTTTGGGCAAAAATGGCCGCTCCCAGAATCAGTGATCGCGACAAAATTTTACTTTATTTTTTTACTGATTAACGCTAAATTCATTAAATCACCGCGAACGTATTAGTTTTAGGTATAAATAATGATCCACTGATTATTCTTTGCTGACCGGACTTTTCCTTTAATAAGAAAGTCAAAATTTAATCTAACTTCGATATATTTTAATGAAAAAAAACTCTAAATCAGTAAAAAAATAAAAATAAAAAGATTCAGTCGCATAAAGAAACCAGATCCCAACAGGATGCAGAC